CCTTCAGCTTATACTACACCATCTGTAAAAATAACTACTCCACCAGGATATCCTGAAACAGAAACACCTGCAGTTTATATGACACCATCTGCTAAAATAACTACTTCAGGATATCCTGAAACAGAAACACCTTCAGCTTATACTACACCATCTGCAAAAACAACTACTCCACCAGGATATCCTGAAACAGAAACACCGTCAGCTTATACTACACCATCTGCAAAAATAACTACTCCACCAGGATATCCTGAAACAGAAACACCTTCCGCTTATACTACACCATCTGCAAAAACAACTACTCCACCAGGATATCCTGAAACAGAAACACCTTCAGCTTATACTACACAATCTGCAAAAATAACTACTACACCAGGATATCCTGAAACAGAAACACCTTCAGCTTATACTACACCATCTGCAAAAATAACTACTACACCAGGATATCCTGAAACAGAAACACCTTCAGCTTATACTACACCATCTGCAAAAATTACTACTACGCCAGGATATCCTGAAACAGAAACACCTTCAGTTTATATTACACCATCTGCAAAAACAACTACTCTACCAGGATATTCTGAAACAGAAACTCCTTCAGCTTATACTACACCATCTGCAAAAATAACTACTCCACCAGGATATCCTGAGACAGAAACACCTTCAGCTTATACTACACCATCTGCAAAAATAACTACTCCACCAGGATATCCTGAAACAGAAACTACTGCAGCTTATACTACACCATCTGCGAAAATAACTACTCCACCAGAATTTTTTGTAACAGAAACGCCTTCAGCTTATACTACACCATCTGCAAAAATAACTACTACACCAGGATATCCTGAAACAGGAAAACCTTCAGCTTATACTACACCATCTGCAAAAATAACTGCTACGCCAGGATATCCTGAAACAGAAACTACTGCAGCTTATACTACACCATCTGCAAATATAACTACTCCACCAGGATATCCTGAAACAGAAACACCTTCAGTTTATACTACACCATCTGCAAAAACAACTACTCCACCAGGATATCCTGAAACAGAAACTCCTTTAGCTTATACTACACCATCTGCAAATATAACTACTCCACCAGGATATCCTGAAACAGAAACAACTGCAGCTTATACTACACCATCTGCTAAAATAACTACTCCACCAGGAAATCCTGAAACAGAAACTACTGCAGCTTATACTACGCCATCTGCAAAAATAACTACTACACCAGGATATCCTGAAACAGATACACCTTCAGCTTATATTACACCATCTGCAAAAATAACTACTACACCAGGATATCCTGAAACAGAAACACCGGCAGCTTATACGACACCATCTGCAAAAATAACTACTACACCCGGATATTCCGGAACAGAAATACCTGCAGTTTATATGACACCATCTGCTAAAATAACTACTTCTGGATATCCTGAAACCGAAACACCTTCAGCTTATACTACACCATCTGCAAAAATAACTACTACACTAAGATATCCTGAAACAGAAACACCTTCTGCTTATACTACACCATCTGCAAAAATAACTACTACGCCAGGATATTCTGGAACAGAATCACCAGCAGCCTATACTACACCATCTGCAAAAATAACTACTNACACCATCTGCAAAAATAACTACTTCAGGATATCCTGAAACAGAAACACCGGCAGCTTATACGACACCATCTGCAAAAATAACTACTACACCTGGATATTCCGGAACAGAAACATCTGCAGATTATATGACACCATCTGCTAAAATAACTACTTCAGAATATCCTGAAACAGAAACACCTTCAGCTTATACTACTCCATCTGAAAAAATAACTACTCCACCAGGATATCCTGAAACAGAAACAACTGCAGTTTATACTACACCATCTGCAAAAATAACTACTACACCAGGATATCCTGAAACAGAAACACCTTCAGCTTATACTACACCATCTGCAAAAATAACTACTCCACCAGGATATCCTGAAACAGAAACAACTGCAGTTTATACTACACCATCTGCAAAAATAACTACTACACCAGGATATCCTGAAACAGAAACACCTTCAGCTTATACTACACCATCTGCAAAAATAACTACTCCACCAGGATATCCTGAAACAGAAACAACTGCAGTTTATACTACACCATCTGCAAAAATAACTACTACACCAGGATATCCTGAAACAGAAACACCTTCAGCTTATACTACACCATCTGCAAAAATAACTACTCCACCAGGATATCCTGAAACAGAAACAACTGCAGTTTATACTACACCATCTGCAAAAATAACTACTACACCAGGATATCCTGAGACAGAAACACCTTCAGCTTATACTACACCATCTGCAAAAATAACTACTCCACCAGGATATCCTGAAACAGAAACAACTGCAGTTTATACTACACCATCTGCAAAAATAACTACTACACCAGGATATCCTGAGACAGAAACACCTTCAGCTTATACTACACCATCTGCAAAAATAACTACTCCACCAGGATATCCTGAAACAGAAACAACTGCAGTTTATACTACACCATCTGCAAAAATAACTACTACACCAGGATATCCTGAGACAGAAACACCTTCAGCTTATACTACACCATCTGCAAAAATAACTACTCCACCAGGATATCCTGAAACAGAAACAACTGCAGTTTATACTACACCATCTGCAAAAATAACTACTACACCAGGATATCCTGAAACAGAAACACCTTCAGCTTATACTACACCATCTGCAAAAATAACTACTCCACCAGGATATCCTGAAACAGAAACAACTGCAGTTTATACTACACCATCTGCAAAAATAACTACTACACCAGGATATCCTGAGACAGAAACACCTTCAGCTTATACTACACCATCTGCAAAAATAACTACTCCACCAGGATATCCTGAAACAGAAACAACTGCAGTTTATACTACACCATCTGCAAAAATAACTACTACACCAGGATATCCTGAGACAGAAACACCTTCAGCTTATACTACACCATCTGCAAAAATAACTACTCCACCAGGATATCCTGAAACAGAAACAACTGCAGTTTATACTACACCATCTGCAAAAATAACTACTACACCAGGATATCCTGAGACAGAAACACCTTCAGCTTATACTACACCATCTGCAAAAATAACTACTCCACCAGGATATCCTGAAACAGAAACAACTGCAGTTTATACTACACCATCTGCAAAAATAACTACTACACCAGGATATCCTGAGACAGAAACACCTTCAGCTTATACTACACCATCTGCAAAAATAACTACTCCACCAGGATATCCTGAAACAGAAACAACTGCAGTTTATACTACACCATCTGCAAAAATAACTACTACACCAGGATATCCTGAGACAGAAACACCTTCAGCTTATACTACACCATCTGCAAAAATAACTACTCCACCAGGATATCCTGAAACAGAAACAACTGCAGTTTATACTACACCATCTGCAAAAATAACTACTACACCTGGATATTCCGGAACAGAAACACCTGCAGTTTATATGACACCATCTGCTAAAAGAACTACTTCAGGATATCCTGAAACAGAATCACCAGCAGCCTATACGACACCATCTGCAAAAATAACTACTACACCAGAATATCCTGAAACAGAAACACCCGTAGTTTATACGACACCATCTGCTAAAATAACTACTCCGCCAGGATATCGTGAAACAGAAACAACTGCAGCTTATACTACACCATCTGCAAAAATAACTACTCCCCCAGGATATCGTAAAACAGAAACATCTTCAGCTTATACTACACCATCTGCAAAAATAACTACTCCACCAGGATATCCTGAAACAGAAACAACTGCAGCTTATACTACACTATCTGCAAAAATAACTACTCCACCAGGATATCCTGAAACAGAAACAACTGCAGTTTATACTACACCATCTGCAAAAATAACTACTACACCAGGATATCCTGAAACAGAAACACCTTCAGCTTATACTACACCATCTGCAAAAATAACTACTCCACCAGGATATCCTGAAGCAAAAACCACTGCAGCTTATACTACACCATCTGCAAATATAACTACTCCACCAGCATATCCTGAAACAGAAACACCCGCAGTTTATACGACACCATCTGCAAAAATAACAACTACACCTGGATATTCTGGAACAGAAACACCGGCAGTTTATACAACACCATCTGCTAAAATAACTACTTCAGGTTATCCTGAAACAGAATCACCAGCAGCCCATACTACACCATCTGCAAAAATAATTACTCCATCCAGATATCCTGAAACAGAAACACCCGCAGTTTATACGACACTATCTGCAAAAATAACTACTTTAGGATATCCTGAAACGGAAACACCTTCAACTTATAGTACACCATCCACAAAACTAACTACTCCACCTGGATATTCTGAAATAGAAACACCTGCAGTTTATGGGACACCTTATGCAAAAATAACTACTCCACCTGGATATTCTGAAAGAGAAACACCAGCAGTTTATACTACATCATTTGTAAAAACAACTACACCTGGATATTTTGAAACAGATACACCTGAAGTTAGTACTACACCATATGCAAAAATAACTACTCCACCAGGATATTCCGAAACAGAAACACCTTCAGTTTATACGACACCATCTGTAAAAATAACTACTACACCTGAATATTCTGGAACAGAAACACCTGCAGTTTATACGACACCAGCTGCAAAAATAACTACTTCAGGATATCCTGAAACAGAAACAACTGTAGCTTATACTGCACCATCTGCAAAAATAACTACTCCACCAGGATATTCCGAAACAGAAACACCTGCAGTTTATACGACATCATCTGCAAAAATAACTACTTCAGGATATCCTGAAACAGAAACACCGGCATCTAATACGACACCATCCACAAAAATAACTACTACACCTGGATATTCTGGAACAGGAACACCTACAACTTATAGGCCACCATCTGAAAAAATAACTACTCCATCCGGATATCCTGAAACAGAAACACCTGCATCTTATACCGCACTGTCTGCAAAAATAACTTCTTCAGGATATCCTAAAACAGAAACAGCAGCAGCTTATACGACACCATCCGCAAAAATAACTACCACACCTGGATATTCTGAAGCAGAAACACCTGCAACATTTATTACACCAACAGCAAAAATATCTACTTCATCAGAATATCCAGAAACAGAAACACGTGCAACTTATTCGCCACCATCTGAAAAAATAACTGCTCCATCCATATATCCTGAAACAGAAACACCTGCATTTTATACGACACCGTCTCCTAAAATAACTACTTCACCAGAATATCCTGAAACGGAAACACCTTCAACTTATACGCCACCATCTGATAAAATAACTATTCCATCCGGATATCCGGAAACAGAAACACCTGCATCTTATATGACGCCATCTCCAAAAATAACTACTTCACCAGAATTGGTGACAGCTACATCTGCAACTTATATGCCACCATCTGAAAAAATAACTGCTCCATCTGGATATCCTGAAACAGAAACACCTGCATATTATACTACACCGTCTGCAAAAATAGCTACTTCAGGATATCGTGAAACAAAAACACCGGCAGCTTATACGCCACCATCTGAAAAAATAATTACTCCATCCAGATATCCTGAAACAGTAACACCTGCATCTTATACTACACCGTCTGCAAAAATAACTACCTCAGAATATCCTGAAACAGAAATACTTGCATCTTATATGACACCATCTCCAAAAATAACTATTTTACCAGAATATCCTGAAACAGAAATACCTGCAACTTATACGCCACCATCGGAAACAATAACTACTCCATCCAGATATCCTGAAACAGAAATACCTGCATTTTATACGACACCATCTCCAAAAATATCTACTTCACCAGAATTTCCTGAAACAGAAATACCTGCTACTAATACACCACCTTCTGCAAAAATAACTACTCTTCTTGGATATCCTAAAACAGAAACACCTGCTGCTTATAAGACACCATCTTCAAAAATTACAATTCCATCAGAATTTCAAGAGACACAGACATCTGCTTTTGATAGGACACCTTCTGTGAAAATAACTACTCTATCAGGACATCCTAAGACAGAGTTACCTACAGCTTATACTAACCCTTCTGGGGAAGTAACTATTCCTCCAGAATATCAAGAGACAGAGACACCTGCTGCTTATGCTACTCTGTCTGCAAAAATAACTGGTCCACCGGAATATCCTGAGATGGAAACCTCTACAGCTTATCCAACTCCGTCCACATCTCCTCCATATATAACTGCTCAAACAGGATATCTTGGACAAACTGTATCTATTCCTGAAAAGAAAATGTCTGTATCAAGGGCAACTGCTGCCACAGATTTACCAACAATTTCTGTATATACGGATACTACACAAAATATCTTCAATATATCCGACATATCTACTCTATTTTGGAGTACTATGAAAATTGCCACACCAATGAGTCAATTAAAAGATGATAAAACAACTATTACTGCTTCATATCCAGTTGATATAAGCCATTCTTCCCCAACCACCATTCAGCCTTACATAATTTCTCCACCAGTTTCAATTTCTCCCACCCCAAAAAAGTTCCTAATAGATAACGAAACAAAAGAATTAGATCATCATTGTTCTCATATAAATAATTGTTCAAATAATACTACTTGTATAAGAAATCATTGTATTGATCCTTGCACATATTACATGCCTTGCGTGAAAAACATTAAATGTAATGTAATTGCCCACATAGCCATATGTTTGTGCCCATTAGATAAGATCCAGAGGAAATTAATTGGTTGTGAGACCATACCAGGTAAACACATATTTCAGAATTCATTTGGATAATGTCTTTGCAAGCAATTTCTGGGACCATGGAAGCATGAGCAAGCAGCCTCATTACAACATATTATGGCTGCACAAGGCCAATTACGAAAGCCTTGCATGAAAAATGGATTGTTACAGTTCTCAGAGAGAACTTAAATAAATCATTATGATTTATTGTTATAAATTCTTTTTTTTTTTTGTATTTTGTGTATATACTGTATATACTTCTTATTTAGCCGGTGATGGTGATTTTTGCTTCGGTTGTGGGTTGTGTAAGAATTATTATAGAAAATTTTACATTACGCTTATTGTATCGTAAGCTTTTTGCTTTTGTTTGTTGTTCTCGGGGAATATCATATCTTTTACCCCAAATTTTTAAAATACTTGGAACAAAATTGCAAGATATATATTTTTGTTTCAATGGTATTTATGACGGTTTTGTAATTGCTCAAAATGTAAGGGGAAAAAGATGAGTGACCACCTGTTATTTGTAATTTGTATATTTTTTAAAAAACTGTCACTGAATTTAATAAAAATTTCTGGAATTAGATGTGTCATGTCAGTCAGAAATCGACTGTTCGTCTCAGCAAACGTGCATAAACCGAAAATGTCAGAATCCTTGTGCCGTATCTAATCCATGTACTCAATCCCAGGATTGCCAAGTACAGGATCATCAGCCAGTGTGTGTTAAAGGTAATGATTAATTTAAAGCAGCAGGTTGGTGTTAACATTTGTAAATAATTACAGTTTGCCAATGCCAAAAAGATGCAGATTGCGGTAATTTTAATTTGCGTTGTGATGGGTGCAAATGCATTACTGGTATGTAATACAATTTCCTCATATTGCTGAAAGTAAAATACATATTAACAAATGTTCTAGAACAACCGAGGATACCACAATGTAAACACTGTCCACCGGGTGTACCTTGCGATCCTGTAACTGGAGCCTGCCAGAAAGGTAAGAATTTTTACTTTAATCGTTTTTTTACATTGTTAGGTTGTGTTGCTGTTTTTTTGTTCCCATCACCATTCTCCCTTTTCCCTTCCTAAATCGAACATTTTTAACAACATATGAAAAACCACATGGACTGGTCTCGTCGGCTTATGATCGCAAGAAGTTGAATAAATGACTGTCAACTTTTATCAGATATGAAGAACAAAACTGATTATATTTTGTGTTACAGCTTAAATTCCATCTAACTGTATATTTTTTCTAACCAATCATATATTGTAAATTTCTGAAAATAGCAACACTTTCCTTTCATTATATCATTGGCTATTGTCAAGTACGACTGACACTGTTTAATGTGAACTCACTACTGTTCACACTTTACTACTATAGTAAACTAGTGTTCTCTGGTGGTATATTTTGAAACTTTTTAGTAATAGTATATAGTGTATTTATAAGTACAATTATTAGATTCTATTATTATACTTTGAATTTCAAAGTACTGGTGGTGGCAGATGCTTAAGCACTTCCATTGCATGATCAAATTTACTAACATCTCATTCCACAGTATTCAGATATTGAAAATAATAATGTAATATACTTTAGATACTCACTTTTATTATTTGTTTTGAAATAACAGATATGGTTACAACACCTGAAACACTAACAGAAACACAAACTGTGACTATTTCACAAATAACAAAAGCTGCCTCTGCTAGCACTCTAACATTTAGCGAACCGGCTGCTGTTACAACCACTGAAGGAACTACATTGCCAAGTAAAGAAAAACCAACAACGCTTTTCACATCAGGACCCACAATAACAACAGTAACAATTCCAGTTGAGAAGGAAACTTTATTCACATCAAAACCTATATTAAATGAGACATCCACTACCACTGCAGAAACTGAAGTTTACACAAGCAAATACAGTCCAGATTTAACCACAGTGATTAGTACAACAGAAGGAAAATATATTATTTATCCACTTACTACAACTACAGAAAAATATGTGAAGGTGACACCCCAGTATCCTTTGCCAACAGTAAGCACTTCAGAAATTACTAGTCCCACAGAACTGGAAGGAGTAACTAAAATGGAAACAGAAAATACTAAATATGCAATTCCAACAGAATCAATGTTGACTGAAATAAATCAAACTGAAAACTATATTACCACTGCTTCACCATCCACACATGAATACATAACTCAAGAGGCAATGGTTACAACACCTCATGATACATTCTCGACCATCCAGCCGATTAAAAAAACTACCAAACAAGTGGAGGAATCAACCACCCAAGGATTTACCATCATAAGCAAAACTCCTGCAACAACAGAAAAGGAACTAGGAACCACACCTCATGAGGTACTGTTTACTACTAAACAAATTGAAGAATTATCTACAAAGGGATTTACTACAATAAGTAGAGAATCCACTCTTGCTTATGCATCAACAGAAAAAGAATCAGAGGCAACCACTCATAAGGTGCTATTAACAACCAAACAAATTGAGGAATTAACCACAGAAGGTTTTACAACAATTAGCGAGGTAATAACTGCTACAACAACAGAAAAGGAAGTGGTAACTACACCTCATGAGGTGCTCTTTACTACTAAACAAATTGAAGAATTGACAACAAAAGGCTTTACGACAATAAGTAGAGAATCCACTCCTGCATATACAACAGAAGCTGGAAAAGAAGCAACAACTCTTAAACCGTTATTTACTACCAAAAAAGTTGAGGAGCTTACCACAGAAGGAATTACAACAGTTAACAACGTAACAGCTCCTGCTACAACAGAAGAGGAGTCAGAAACCACACCTCATGCGGTATTATTTACTACTGAACAAATTGAGGAATTGTCCACAAAAGGATCTACTACGATAAATAGAGAATCAACTTCTGTGTATGTAACAACAGAAACTGAAAAAGAATCAACAACTGTTAAACCATTATTTACCACTAAAAAAATTGGACAGACTACTGAAGGTATTACAACATTTAGTGAGGCAACAACGCCAGCAACAACTGAAATGAAACTAGCAACTACAACTCATGAGGTATTGTTTACTACTAAACAAATTGAAGAATTAACCACCCAAGGATTTACTACAATAAGTATAGGATCCACTCCTGCATATGTAACATCAGAAAAGAAAACAGAGGTGACAACTCCTAAGCTGTTATTTACCACCAAAGAAATTGAGGAGCTTACCACAGAAGGAATCACAACAATTAGCAAGGTTACAGTTCCTGCAACAACGGAAAAAGAGATAGAAACTACGACTCATGAGGTATTCTTTACTACTAAACAAATTGAGGAATTAACCACCAAAGGATTTACTACAATAAGTAGAGAATCCAGTCCTGCATATGTAACAACAGAAAACAGAACAGAGGTGACAACTCCTATGCTGTTATTTACTACAAAAAAAAATGAGGAACTGACTACAGAAGAAATTACAACAATTAGCAAGGTAACAGCTCCTGTTACAACCGAAAAAGAGATAGAAACTACGACCCATGAGGTATTGTTTACTACTAAACAAATTGAAGAATTAACCACCAAAGGATTTACTACAATAAGTAGAGAATCCACTCCTGCATATGTAACAACAGAAAAGGAAACAGAAGTAACAACTCCTAAGCTGTTATTTACTACCAAAAAAATTGAGGAGCTTACCACAGAAGGAATTACAACAATTAGCGAGGTAACAACTTCTGCAACAAAGGAACAGGACGTAGAAACCACACCTCATGAGGTATTATTTACTACTAAACAAATTGAAGAATTAACCACCAAAGGATTTACTACAATAAGTAGAGAATCCACTCCTGCATATGTAACAACAGAAAAGGAAACAGAGGTGACAACTCCTAAGCTGTTTATTACTACCAAAAAAATTGAGGAGCTTACCACACAAGGAATTACAACGATTAGCGAGGTAACAGCTCCTGCAACAAAGGTACAGGAGGTTGAAACCACACCTCATGAGGTATTTTTTACTACTAAACAAATTGAAGAACTAACCACCCAAGGATTTACTACAATAAGTAGAGAATCCACTCCTGCATATGTAACAACCAAAAAGGAAACAGAAGTGACAACTCCTAAGCTGTTATTTAGCACCAAAAAATTTGAGGACCTGACTACAGAAGGAATTACAGCAATTAGTGAGGTAACAACTCCTGCAACAAAAGAACAGGCGGTAGAAACCACACCTCATGAGGTATTGTTTACTACTAAACAAATTGAAGAATTAACAACCAAAGGATTTACTACAATAAGTAGAGAATCCACTCCTGCATATGTAACAACCGAAAAGGAAACAGAAGTAACAACTCCTAAGCTGTTATTTACTACTAACGAAATTGAGGAGTTGACTACAGAAGGAATTACAACAATTAGCGAGGTAACAACTCCTGCAGCAAAGGAACAGGAGGTAGAAACCACACCTCATGCGGTATTGTTTACTACTAAGCACATTGAAGAATTAACCACCAAAGGATTTACTACAATAAGTAGAGAATCCACTCCAGCATATGTATCAACAGAAAAGGGAACAGAGGCAACAACTCCTCAACTGTTATTTACTACTAAAACAATTGAGGAACTTACTACAGAAGGAATTACAACAATTGAGGTAACGACTCCCGCGACAACAAAAAAAGAGTTGGAAACCACACCTCATGAGGTATTGTTTACTACTAAACAAATTGAAGAATTAACCACCCAAGGTTTTACTACAATAAGTAGAGAATCTACTCCTGTATATGTAACAACCGAAAAGGAAACAAAAGTAACAACTCCTAAGCTGTTATTTACTACCAAAAAAATTGAGGAGCTTACCACAGAAGGAATTACAACAATCAGCGAGGTAACAACTCCTACAACAAAGGAACAGAAGGTAGAAACCACACCTCATGAGGTATTGTTTACTACTAAACAAATTGAAGAATTAACCACCAAAGGATTTACTACAATAAGCAGAGAATCTACTCCTGCATATGTAACAACCGAAAAGGAAACTGAAGTAACAACTCCTAAGCTGTTATTTACTACCAAAAAAATTGAAGAGCTTACCACAGAAGGAATGACAACAATTAGCGAGGTAACAACTCCTACAACAAAGGAACAGGAGGTAGAAACCACACCTCATGAGGTATTGTTTACTACTAAACAAATTGAAGAATTAACCACCAAAGGATTGATTACAATCAGTAGAGAATCCACTCCAGCATATGTAACAACAGAAAAGGGAACAGAGGTAACAACTCCTCAACTGTTATTTACTACTAAAACAATTGAGGAACTTACTACAGAAGGAATTACAACAATTGAGGTAACGGCTCCCACGACAACAAAAAAAGAGTTGGAAACCACACCTCATGAGGTATTGTTTACTACTAAACAAATTGAAGAATTAACCACCCAAGGTTTTACTACAATAAGTAGAGAATCCACTCCTGCATATGTAACAACCCAAAAGGAAACAGAAGTGACAACTCCTAAGCTGTTATTTACTACCAAAAAAATTGAGGAACTTACAACGGAAGGAATTACAACAATTGGTGAGGTAACAGTTCCTGCAACAACAGAAAAGGAACTAGAAACCACACCTCATGTGGTATTGTTGACTACTAAGCATATTGAAGAATTAACCACTAAAGGATTTACTACAATAAGTAGGGAATCAGCTCCTGCATATGTAACAACAGAATCTGGAACAGAAGCGACAACTCCTAAGCCATTATTTACTACCAAAGAAATTGAGGAGCTTACCACAGAAGGAATTAAAACAATTAGCAAGGTAATAGTTCCTGCAACAACAGAAATGGAGTTAGAGACCACACCTCGTGAAGTATTGCTTACTACTAAACAAATTGAGGAGCTGACCACACAAGGATTTACTACAATCAGTAGAGAATCCACTCCTACATATGTAACAACAGAAAAGGGAACAGAGGCAACAACTCCTATGCTGTTATTTAGTACCAAAAAAATTGAGGAACTTACTACTCAAGGAATTACAACAATTAGTGAGGTAACACTTCCTGCAACAACAGAAAAGGAACTAGAAACCACATCTCATGAAGTATTGTTTACTTCTAAACAAATTGAAGAACTGACCACGAAAGGATTTACTACAATCAGTAGAGACTCCACTCCTGCATATGTAACAAACGAAAAAGGAACAGAGGCCACAACTCCTAAGCTGTTATTTACTACCAAAAAAATTGAGGAACTTACTACAGAAGGAATTACAGCAATTAGTGAGGTAACAGCTCCTTCTACAACTGAAAAGGAGTTAGAAACCACACCTCATGAGGTATTCTTTACTACTAAACAAATTGAGGAATTAGCTACAAGGGGATTTACTACACTAAGTAGAGAATCTGCTCCTGCATATGTAACAACAGAATCTAGGAAAGAAACGACAACTCTTAAGCCGTTATTTACTACCAAAAAAATCGAGGAGCTTACTACGGAAGGAATTGCAACAATTAGTGAGGTAACAGCTCCTGCAACAACTGAGAAGGGGTTAGAAATCACACCATACGAGATATTGTTTACTACTAAGCAAATTGAAGAGTTAACCACAAAAGGATTTACTACATTAAGCAGAGAATCCACTCCTGCATATATAACAGAAACAGGTAAAGAAACGACAACTCCAAATCCGTTATTTACTACCAAGGAAATTGAGGAGCTTACCACAGAAGGAATTACAACAGTTAGCAAAGTAACAGTTCCTACAACAACAGAAAGGGAGTTAGAAACCACATCTCATAAGGTATTATTTACTACTAAACAAATTGAAGAATTGACCACAAAAGGATTTACTACAATTAGTAGAGAATCCACTCCTGCATATATAATAACAGAAAAGGAAACAGAGATAACAACTCCTAAGCTGTTAATTACTACCAAAAGAACAGAGGAGCTTACTACAGAAGGAATTACAACAATTAGGAATGTAACAACTCCTGCAACAACAAAAAAGGAATTGGAAACCACACCTCATGAGGTGTTGTTTACTACTAAACAAATTGAAGAATTAACTACCAAAGGATTTACTACAATAAGTATAGAATCCACTCCAGCATATAAAACAACAGAAAAGGGAACAGAGGTAACAACTCCTAAGCTGTTAATTACTACCGAAAAAATCGAGGAGCTTACTACAGAAGGAATTACAACAATTAGGAATGTAACAGCTTCTACAACAACAGAAAAGGAATTGGAAACCACACCTCATGAGGTGTTGTTTACTACTAAACAAATTGAAGAATTAACCACCAAAGGATTTACTACAATAAGTTTAGAATCCACTCCTGCATATGTAACAACAGAAAAGGGAACAGAGGTAACAACTCCTAAGCTATTAATTACTACCAAAAAAATTGAGGAGCTTACTACAGAAGGAATTACAACAATTAGCAATGTAACACCTCCTGCAACAACAGAAATGGAATTGGAAACCACATCTCATGAGGTGTTGTTTACTACTAAACAAATTGAAGAATTAACCACCAAAGGATTTACCACAATAAGTAGAGAATCCACTCCAGCATATGTAACAACAGAAAAGGGAACAGAGGTAACAACTCCTAAGCTGTTAATTACTACCAAAAGAATTGAGGAGCTTACTACAGAAGGAATTACAACAATGAGCAATGTAACAGCTTCTGCAACAACAGAAAAGGAATTGGAAGCTACAACTCATGAGGTATTGTTTACTACTAAACAAATTGAAGAATTAACCACCAAAGGATTTACTACAATACGTATAGAATCCACTCCTGCATATGTTACAACAGAAAAGGTAACAACTCCTAAGCTGTTAATTACTACCAAAAAAATTGATGAGCTTACTTCAGAAGGAATTACAACAATTAGCAATGTAAAATCTCCTGCAACAACAGAAAAGGAATTGAAAACCACATCTCATGAGGTAGTGCTTACTACTAAACAAATTGAAGAATTAACCACCAAAGGATTTACTACAATAAGTAGAGAATCCACTCCAGCGTATGTAACAATAGAAAAGGGAACAGAGGTAACAACTTCTAAATTGTTAATTACTACCAAAAGAAATGAGGAGCTTACAACAGAAGGAATTACAACAATGAGCAATGTAACAGCTCCTGCAACAACAGAAGAGGAATTGGAAACTACAACTCATGAGGTATTGTTTACTACTAAACAAATTGAAGAATTAACCACCAAAGGAATTACTACAGTAAGTATAGAATCCACTCCTGCATATGTAACAACAGAAAAGGGAACAGAGGTAACAACTCCTATACTGTTAAATACTACCAAAACAATTGAGGAGATTACTTCAGAAGGAAGTACAACAATTAGCAATGTAGCAGCTCCTGCAACAACAGTAAAGGAATTTGAAACCACACCTCATGAGGTGTTGTTTACTACTAAACAAATTGAAGAATTAACCACCAAAGGATTTACTACAATAAGTAGGGAATCCACTCCAGCATATGTAACAATAGAAAAGGGAACAGAGGCAACAACTCCTCAGGTGTTATTTACTACCAAAACAATTGAGGAACTTACTACAGAAGGAATTACATCAATTGAGGTAACAGCTCCCGCGACAACGAAAAAAGAGTTGGAAACCACACCTCATGAGGTATTGTTTAGTACTAAACAAATTGAAGAATTAACCACAAAAGGATTTACTACAATAAGTAGAGAATCCACTTCGGTGTATGTAACAACAGAAACTGGAAAGGAAGCGACACCTGCTAAACCATTATTTACTTCCAAAAAAATTGAGGAGCTTACTACGGAAGGAATTACAACAATTAATGAGGTAACAGCTCCTATAGCAACAGAAAAGGAGTTAGAAACCACGCCTCATGAGATATTACTTACTACTAAACAAATTGAGGAATTGACAACAAAAGGATTTACTACCTTAAGTAGAGAATCTACTCCTGCATATGCAGTAACAGAAAAAGGAACAGAAACAACTCCTGGGCCATTATATACTACCAAACAAAGGGAGGAAACACCTTATACCATGTTACCGACTACCAGTCAAGTTGGAGAATTCACCACACAAGAATTTACAAGTGAAGCGGCAGTACGTTTAACCACAGGGATGCCTGAACTAATAACTACCTCTGTTAGTATTCAAACAGAGGGTCCTGTTTCAGTTCAAAATTATACAGAACAGTTTACTAATATCTCTAAATCATGCAAAGAAGATGTTGATTGCAGCAACACGGAAATATGTGTTGCCAAGTTATGTATTAATGTTTGTGCCATTGGTGGTTTATGTGCTTCAAATGCCAAATGCGTAGCAACAAATCATACAGCTATCTGCTCGTGCCCACCACATCACTATGGAGATCCTCATAGGATTTGTTTCCAAGGTATAAGACACAAATTAATCCTTCAGAAAATATGGTTCATCAATATTTGTAATATATAATATATATATCTTTCTAGTTTAAGCACTTTTTAATTCAACTAATTTTGCACAGATTAGTTCGATATATTAAGTTTTGCATGCCGTTAAATTGGTTCATGGTTTTATAATTTGTAAATAGTTTTAGAGAAAGCCCTCCCTGACAATAATTTTTCACCCCTATTCATTTAAATCAATTAACGTATTAATAAATTAATCTCTAACTCTACTAGAACCACCTAGTGACAGAGCTCGTAAACCTTGTGAATCTGATATGGACTGCCTCGAAAGTGAGGCCTGTTACATGTCTTTATGTCAAGATCCCTGTGAGTTTACAAACTCCTGTGCAGATAGTGCTAGATGTCAAGCAAAAATGCACAGACCTATTTGTACTTGTCCAATGGGATACGAAGGAAACCCTGCTACTAAATGCTTCAAGTCACCCACAAGTAAGATAACCCTGTGTATAATACATTTAATCAATTTAAAATTTGTACATTTAATAACTCAGTAATCATCCTAACTAGTCAACTAATTAACAAAACAAACTGCAAAGAGTAAATTGTACAAAGAGAACTATATATTATGTAAATAGGGTTAGATTTCTTTCCTCTTACTATGTTCTTTGCACACTTTCTCTTTAGTGACTTGCACAAGCAATGAAGACTGCCCCATAAGTGAAGCTTGCATAGACAGAGCTTGTCAAAGACCATGTGATGTGCGGAACCCTTGTGCCCAACATGCTGTATGCATTAATACGAATCATGGATTCGACTGTAGTTGTGAAGAAGGCTTTCACGGAAACGGATATGTCCTTTGCAAGCCAGGTAACACACTGTCATTGATATGTTTATTTCTTCAAATCTCAAACTGACATAAATTTGTAGTTATTGATTACAAACCAATTTGTCAATATAATGAAGACTGTCCTCCCAACAAGCTGTGTGACCGGCTCAACAGAATATGTATAAATCCATGTTTTGAAGATTCTTGTGGCGATAATGCAGAATGTGTACCCAAAGACCATGGCACAGATTGTCGTTGTTTGCCAGGATATCAAGGAAATCCATATGTGTTATGTAACAGGGTAGAGGGATGTAGATCTGATAATGATTGTCCATCTCACGAGGCCTGTATAAATCGCCAGTGTAGTTCACCATGCAGATGTGGTTTTAATGCAGTATGTGATGTAATTTATCATAAACCATCATGTAAATGCCCACCTGGGTACCAAGGTGACGCATTAGTAGGATGTCAGCCACCTACAAATCCATGTAACCCGAATCCTTGTGGTCTAAATGCTCTTTGTGAAATTGATAATGGTAACCCCATATGTTTCTGTCCTAAAGGTTTAACTGGTAATCCGTTTAAAAATTGCAGTAAGTAAATCGGAAAATGTTTATAGGACTATAAAGTAATACCATTTCTTTTCAGTACCTGAGGGTGACGAATGCTCTCCTAATCCTTGTGGTCAAAATTCAGGATGCCGTGTAGTAGGTGGCAATGCTGTATGCTTCTGTTTGCCTGAATTTGAGGGCACTCCTCCGCAAATACCTTGCTCTCTGCCCACAAACCCATGTGATCCATCGCCATGTGGTCCCAACACACAGTGCGCAATCCTCTCCAATGGTTTTGCGAAATGTACATGCCTTCCTGGTTTCCTAGAAAGTCCTAATACTATTAGAGGATGTATTGAAGCGAAGAATCCTTGTGACCCTAACCCCTGTGGTCTGGGTGCCACATGTGACCCACTAAGAGAACCAGTATGTTCTTGCCCTGTCGGAACCATTGGCAATCCATTCAAGCATTGCACTGCACCCCAAATCACATTGTGTAATCCAGGTCCTTGTGGTCTAAATGCTGATTGTTATGTCACAAACAACCAAGAACAGTGTTACTGTAGAACAGGATTTATCGGTAATCCATATTCGGGTTGCAGAATCCAACCACCATCTCCTTGTGTACCTAACCCTTGTGGTCCTGGAGCGGAATGTATTGTTACACCGGATGGAAATTCATTGTGTCAGTGCCCTGCTGGTATAGGAGGGGACCCCACGGGGCCCGCTGGATGTCAAGGATATGAGTGTGTTGTTGATGAGAATTGCGGAGACCAACAAGCATGTATTGGATATAGGTGCAAAGATCCATGTCCGGGATCCTGTGGCATTAATGCGAACTGTAGAGTAGAGAAACACCATCCTGTTTGCACTTGTAATCCTGGTTTAACTGGTAATCCAACAATAAGATGTTTCCCCGTTATAGAACCAATACCAGAAGGTGATCCCTGCATTCCGAGTCCGTGTGGACTTAACACGATATGTCAAGTTATGTCTGGAAGAGCCGTCTGCTCATGTCTGCCAGATTTTCAAGGTGATCCTCAGTTCGGATGTCAACCAGAATGTGTTATTAATTCTGACTGTCCCATCAATAAGGCATGTTTGGATAGACATTGCAGAGACCCTTGCAGTATAGGGAACATATGTGGTATCAATGCTGTTTGTCAAGTGAGGGATCATACTGCAGCATGCGTATGCGCCAATGGTTATAGAGGAGATCCATTCTCGCAATGTATATTAACGCCTAGTGTAATAATTCCACCTTATGCCAACACCACAACACAACCTTGTGTGCCTTCACCTTGCGGTTCGATAGAATGCAACACTTACGGGACCCAAGTGGCTATATGCAACCCCTGTCTAGGTCCAGATGCACCTTATCTTCCCCAGTGCCGCCCAGAGTGTCTAACAAATGCAGACTGCCCGTTCAATCAAGCCTGTCTAGGATATTCATGCATCGACCCCTGCCCTGGGTCTTGTGGTGTAAATGCTGTGTGTACAGTCGTCTCTCACACCCCTGTGTGCAGTTGTCCAGCTGGACTAATCGGCGATCCTTTCCAGCATTGCTCAGTAGCTCTAGGTAAGCACTGTTCATTGTAACAGAGGAAAAACTTAAACAGTAATATTTGTTGTAATCTTTATTATTTATTTACAGTATTATCGTTATCATTATTTGTATTTCAGAACCTGAAGAGAAAATTGAAACCTGTGAAAATATCAGATGTGGGGCAAATGCTGATTGTAAACAACAGAATAATGGTTTGGCCTGTATATGCAAAAAGGGATTTTATGGTAATCCTTGGATAGCTTGTAGGCCAGAGTGTGTTATCAACCCAGATTGTCCACTGAACAAAGCCTGCATTAACAATAAGTGTATAGATCCTTGCGGAGGAGTTTGTGGGGTGGGAGCTCAGTGTTCCGTTGCAAACCATGTACCAATCTGTTTTTGCCCCCCTCAATCCACCGGAGATCCATTTGTCAGTTGTTATAAGTATACACCACCCATCCAACCGATACCAGCAGAGAATCCGTGTGACCCATCTCCTTGCGGGCCTTTCAGCAGATGTCTAGTTTCTCATCAAGGGTTTGCTACCTGCTCCTGCTTGCCAAATTATCAGGGTGCTCCACCTGTGTGTAAACCTCAATGCATTGTTAGTTCGGACTGTCCACAAACTCGTGCCTGTATTAATCAGAAATGTGTAGATCCTTGCATCGGTACGTGTGGTGCAAGCGCTGTTTGTAATGTTATCAACCACAATCCAATATGTACTTGTCCTCCAGGACAAGAAGGTGATCCCTTCTTTGGTTGCACTACCACGCCATCAACAGACTTACCTCCAGTACATATAAACCCTTGTATCCCTTCACCCTGCGGACCAAATTCTATTTGTCAAGTGAAAGAGGATCGGCCTGTTTGCTCTTGCGTGGCAAATTACATTGGCAGCCCACCATATTGTCGACCAGAGTGCACGATAAACGACGAATGCCCTCAAAATGAAGCTTGCTTCAGAGAAAAATGTATTAATCCCTGCCTTAATACCTGTGGGTCAAACGCAAAATGTAATGTCGTAAACCACATTCCATTATGCAGTTGCGTTGAGGGTTTCGAGGGAGACGCGTTCATCGGTTGTTCTAAGATTCCTAAGATCGCAGCACCTACAGATCCTTGCAATCCTTCTCCTTGCGCCGAGAACTCACAATGCACAGATGTAGGAGGCGTAGCCAAGTGCACGTGTATACCTCCATATATTGGTAATCCCTATGCTGGGGGCTGTAGGCCGGAGTGCACCACCAACTCCGAATGCCCCAATCATCTCGCCTGTCTGTCTCAGCATTGCAGAGACCCTTGTCAAGGATTATGTGGTATCAGTGCAGAATGCGGTGTGGTGAATCATGTACCAGTATGTACTTGCGGTAAAGGACTTATTGGAGATCCCTTCACGGCTTGTAGAGAACCACCTTTACAACGTAAGTTGAAACATTGTGTTCGATGTTGTTGTGTGCTAATATCCATTTTCTTTTCAGCAAAAGCAGAACCGTGCGAACCCTCACCTTGCGGCCCCAACAGTGTTTGTCGAGTGCGAAATGATCAAGCCATATGTTCGTGTCAGATCGGTTATTTTGGCACCCCTCCATCGTGCAGACCAGAATGTCTTGTGAGCTCCGAGTGCAGCTTAGATAAGGCCTGTATAACACAAAGATGTCAAGATCCTTGTCCAGGAACCTGTGGCGTGCAAGCTAGATGTCAAGTAAACAACCACAATCCCATCTGCAGCTGCCCCCCCAACTATATTGGTGATCCATTTGTGCAGTGTACCAAGCAAGGTATGTTTGTCGATAGATTTCTTATTAATAGGATTAATTTATTAAAGGTACCTCATACAAATTAATAAGTAGTTACTGAGCAAATAGAAACCGATGTATAAAGATTAGTGATACATAGAGATTATCGAATCAGTGCCTCAGGGAACTATTTTAGGCCCTATATTTTCTTATATATTTTGAATTAACTTTGTAAAATACATACCGAGGTAAAGTTTAAAATATATAGTTGGCAATTACTTCAATAATTTCATTAAATGATTAATTATAGATTGCTTACTTGCTTTTAGCTGTGAATCAAGAACAGATAATTATAAATCCAGTTAATACTATAAAATACCTCTAGGTTCAGAGATAAACATTACAATTTATAAAATATGAAGTTAGATATTGCACAACTTAGATATTTAACGGGTATGCTCGCATTATGTCAAGTGAAACTATTATATCGTGCTTTGACAGAATCTCATTTGACGTACGGCAAAAATAAACCTAAGCAACACATTCTTGAATTAATTGCTAGAGAAAACATTTATTGTTTATGATCTAGTACTATAAACTTTATAGGTACTCATAAAAATACAACCATGACACTAACTACAGGTTCTTATGATGATTTTAATTTATATGCATTGTGAACGTAGACTACTCTACCACCTAGCTAAAATTTGAGTATTTATTGCTACCGTATCTTCGAGATCTGTGTGCACTATAAAATATTTTACTTTTGTATATTCTCTATAATTGTCAATAGTAAAGCCATATTTAGATGAACTATCTGAAAAATATAAATTATCTGAAAGCATAACATTCAAAGAATCCTCTGCTATCGCCATTTTTAACTTGCACTCCACTATTAAACAGTATACAGGGTGTAACTGGGGGTCATATTTTTACAGAGGTTTCTTTTGACCTTTAGAAACATATATACTTTATCGTTTCAAATTGTACCGTTTAAACTTATTTTTTTTTATCCTTTTCTTTCGTAATTTTCTTACCCGGTCGTTGGGCAAGCAATTTTCACATCACTCACCGTGAGGTACTGCTCTTTGACACTTTACTTTTGTTGAGTGGCTGTTCGCCACAAGCCCTATCCCAAAAAAAAAAACAACAATTTACTTCTTTTAAATAAGATAAACTATGAAACAGTATTTAACAAGTAACGTAGCAGAAAACTCAAGCAGTAATCAATAATGATAAATGAAATATACAAAAATAAATAAATAATCTGAGTATTCGGTTGATAGCCGCACAGTTTAAGGCTTCAGTACTTAAATCGTGTGCAAATTTCTGCACGGGTTCGATTCCCACGGCCGGTAGACCGTAGATTAGCTATGCTTGTATGGAGGATTGGCACCCTCTGTGCAGGTATGGTAGGGTGGAAGAATGTTGGGTTGTGTCAATGTGGGAGATTGACACCGGTTGGCATTTGACCAACCCCTAATTAATGAGGTTTTCCAGGTTTCCCTCATTCCTGCACTGAATGATGGTTAGGGCCTACCAACATAACTCGTTCCTGGGCGCAAATGCGGCCTGCCTAATAATAATATGCCGCCTCTTCTCCCGCACAAGTCTCCGAGTTATGGTCTAATTCTCGTAGTTAGAATGAGGAGTAGAGATATTATTATTATTATTATTATTCACCTGATTTTTATAACACCTAAGATTTTGTGGAAAATCTTCGAGTACTGGTACTAGGATCCTCTTCCACAGCGTTTAAAATTTCTGGTTCAAAGGTCCCATAATTTCTTAAATGTTGAAAAACATTTTCTTATTCGGCGTAATCTATTTGATATCGTCTTCTTTTGCTTTTTTATAATGTACAAAAACTTAATTAAGACACAAAATTTCACTGTATCGTCACTGCACACGGAAATAAACAAATTTTGTATTATACACTTACACCACATAAAGGCACTTCATCTATAACCTTCCCCAAACCAAGTCGAAGACTAAACAAATATGTAACCAACACTGCAGTTTTCGGCCATACCCATTTTACATTAGGTGAGAGAACAGTCAGCTGGCTGTCCACGTGGCTGATCCGCTTTCAAAGACATGCTGCAACAGGACAGATTAAAATAACACGTCGTTGTAATATTAAATTAATCTGTTTCCAGTAAATTATTTTTCATCGTCACAGCCCACAATGTAGATCGATTTAAAAACGACTGGCAACGTTGATAGTGCACTAATACAATTTCACACACAAACTCCGGGTGTCCCGGTTTACACCGCTCAGTGGCGACATACACAAGAATTAAAGTGCATTTAAAAATAATCTAATTATAACTCAACTTCACTTCATTAATTCATTCATTTGATTAAAAAATAATTTCAGATTCATGTTCAGGGAACTACCCCTAACAAACTGACCACAGTTAAAGTTACACCTTGTATATTCTCAATGTTAGGAAATTTACAATCTCTACGAAAAAGTGCATGTAAATTAGAATCATCATTAGATGATGTTATTTTGCATGGGCATATAAGAAATATATTTGTTCTTTTATTTAAGTTTTATTAAATTTGATTGATTGATTTTATATTTGTTTCTATTTATAATCGCTCATATTGTTTTTTATGTTTTTACTAAGTAGATTTCAATTATGGGTAGAAAATTTGCACTTACTGATAACTCCGAAACACAAGGTTTTACCTTCTTGGGTTTTGCTTGTTATATTCAAATATATGGACAATACTTTGTTACCTTCTACTTGATCCATAGATAAGTATTTTTTAATATTACTGTGTTCTCTTTTAGTGAAAGTTCCAAACAGACCTCCCGTTCCTTGTGTACCGTCACCATGCGGTGCGAATGCAGAATGTCGAACTGTTGACGATCGGGCTGTTTGTTCTTGCCTCCCAGGAATGTACGGCGCTCCTCCAAATTGTCGACCAGAATGTGTGATTGATCAAGACTGCCCATTAAGTTTGGCGTGCACTGGAAACAAATGTAAAGATCCATGCGTTGGTTCCTGTGGATTTAACGCTCTATGTAATGCTGTCAATCATAGACCAATATGTAGCTGCCCCTCGGGCTTTGAAGGCGATCCATTCTCCGATGGTTGCAACCCCATACCAAGTAAGCTGCACTTTTTTTTTTTTAATAGAATCTTATTTTCCCCATTGCATGATACATATTTTCTTTTCACAAACTTAAATTTGTATTTCTTATCTGTGTAAATACTCTTTACTTCCTTATAGTAAGAGACATAAAGCGCGACCCATGTAACCCATCTCCTTGCGGATCAAATGCGATATGCACCGAAAGAAACGGTGCTGGTGCGTGTACTTGTACTAAGGGATATTTTGGTGATCCCTACACTGGATGTAGACCTGAATGTATAACAAATAACGATTGTCCCCATGACAAGGCATGTTTAGGGATGAAATGTAGAGATCCCTGTCCTGGTAGTTGCGGCATAAATGCTGAATGTAGTGTGTTCAATCACAATCCTCAATGCCATTGTCTACCGGGATTTACTGGAAATGCTTTGGCCTTTTGTCGGGAAATAGAAATCAGTAAGGAAATTATCCATAACAATATAGTCGCCTGTACTAATTTTGTATTTATTAGTTCCGGAACTGCCCCAAAACCCCTGTGTTCCATCACCGTGTGGCCCATACAGTATATGTCACGTGGTAAACAACAGGCCAGTCTGCTCTTGTGGCATCGGTTATATAGGATCCCCACCAAATTGCAAACCAGAATGTGTAGTAAATTCAGAATGTCCTTTGGATAAAGCATGCCAGAATCAAAAATGTACAGACCCCTGTCCTGGCACGTGTGGCTTTAACGCCTTGTGTAAAGTAATTGTTCATAGTCCCATTTGTAGCTGCCCACAAGGTTATGTAGGTGACCCTTTCAGTAGATGCTTAAGAGAAGAGAGTAAGCTTAGTTTGTTAAGTACTGCTTTATTGCTTTCTGCATGATGCTTTTTTTAGAACGCCCAATTATTCCTCAAGAATCGTTAGATCCTTGTGTACCATCGCCATGCGGACTTTTCTCCAATTGCAGAGTGACAAATGATCATCCAATATGCTCGTGTTTACCAAATTATTACGGTCAACCTCCCAATTGTAGACCAGAATGCACTGTACATTCGGAATGTTCCTTAACTAAAGCTTGTACAAATCAAAGATGTGTAGATCCATGCCCAGGATCCTGCGGTTTAAATGCCGAATGTAGAACAATTAATCATGTACCAGTATGTTACTGTTTGCCTGGTTATTCGGGAGATCCCTTTTCAGGTTGCCGACAATGTAAGGACTATATTTTTTATATAAAAAATACACATTCGGTAATCATAGCGGAAAACCTAAGTGCTTCTCTTTATCTTTCAGTCATACCAAAAGAGGAACCTCCTCACCCATGTAACCCATCTCCTTGTGGTTCAAATGCTATTTGCAAAGAACTTAACGGTGCAGGATCATGCTCCTGTTTACCAGAATATGTTGGAGATCCTTACTCAGGTTGTAGACCGGAATGTGTAATGAATTCAGATTGTCCGAGAGATAAATCTTGTGTAAATAACAAATGTAAGGATCCTTGCCCTGGAACATGTGGCTTAAATGCAGACTGCCGCGTAAATAATCATATTCCCACTTGCCTATGCCTTCCAGGATTTACTGGAAATCCAATGAGTTCATGTCACCAAAAACCACCTGAACCTAGTAAGACCTTTTACTATTCTTTGTATCTGTATTCTTTCTATTTTACTTAAATCTTAATCTTTTCTTCTTTATTTAGCTATTGTTGAGCCTACAAATCCCTGTATACCTTCGCCATGTGGACCATTTAGTCAGTGTAGGGTGGTCAATTTGCATGCTGTATGTTCATGTCAAACGAATTATATTGGAGCACCACCAATGTGCCGACCCGAATGCTCTGTCAGTACCGACTGTGCGCAAGATAAAGCATGCATTAATCAAAAATGTCGTGACCCCTGCCCAGGAACTTGTGGTTTAAATGCTAGGTGCAATGTAGTAAATCACAATCCAATCTGTAGTTGCCCTCCTGGACAAGTAGGAGACCCATTTGTCCGTTGTGTCCAGGAAGAAAGTAAGACGACGTTACCTTTCCTTTTACTTTATTTACTATCTCATTATCTTTCTAGAACGTGTGCCACCCCCACCAAGTGGTAACCCTTGTGTCCCCTCCCCTTGTGGATTAAATTCACAATGTAGAGTTGTTGGTACGCAAGCTGCGTGCTCCTGTCTTCCCAATTACATAGGTCGCGCACCCAACTGTCGCCCTGAATGTAGTATTAACGCAGAATGTCCCGGAAATTTGGCTTGTATAAATGAAAAGTGTAAAGACCCTTGTCCTGGTTCTTGCGGAATCAGCACCACGTGTATTGTTGTTAAGCATTCGCCAAACTGCCAGTGCCAACCGGGATATACTGGAGATCCATTTGGTGGTTGTTCCCCTATACGAGTTGTGTCACCTCCCGAACACCATGACCCCTGTAATCCATCTCCTTGTGGAGCCAATGCTGTTTGCAAACAGTTGAATGGTGCGGGATCTTGTGCGTGTATACCAGAATACTTTGGTGATCCTTACACCAGCTGCAGACCGGAATGCGTAACTAACACAGACTGCCCCCGAGATAAAGCTTGTTTGAATAATAAATGTAAGGATCCCTGTCCAGGTACTTGTGGAGTAAATGCGGTATGTAGGGTCTCGAACCATGCACCATCTTGTTTCTGTTTCGATGGGTACACTGGAAATCCAGCAACGGCCTGTCATCTAGTCCAACCTAGTACGTATTCATATATTGGCCAGCATGGTGAATGTTTTACTAAGACGTCTTTCTTCTTTAGCTATCAAGGTACCTGAACCAGAACCTTGCCAACCGTCGCCTTGTGGACCTTACAGTCAATGTAGGGTTGTAAACGGGCATGCCGTATGCTCATGCCAAGCTAATTACATAGGTTCCCCCCCAACGTGTAGACCCGAATGCATGATCAGTGCCGACTGTGCGCTGGATAAAGCGTGTATTAATTCAAAATGTCAGGATCCTTGCCCGGGCACTTGCGGCTTAAACGCACTCTGTCAAGTCATTAATCATAACCCGATATGCAGTTGCTCACCTGGCTTTACAGGAGATCCTTTCGTGAGATGTTTACAAGAACCGAGTAAGCATTTATAATTCTCAAATATACTAACATTATTAATTTCATGTTGATTTACATATATTTATCTCCGATTTAGAAAAACCGGTAGTAATTCCATCAGAAAATCCATGTCAACCATCTCCATGCGGTCCGAATTCTCAATGTAGGGCAATAGGTAATACACCGGCGTGTTCTTGTTTACCAAATTATGTCGGACGGGCCCCCAATTGCCGCCCGGAATGCACTATAAATGCTGAATGCCCAGGCAATTTAGCTTGTCAAAGAGAAAAATGTGTAGATCCTTGTCCAGGCTCGTGTGGCGCCAATACCGATTGTATTGTAATTACACACAGGCCAGTATGTTCTTGTAGAGAAGGACATACAGGTGATCCTTTTGCTGGGTGCAGCCTTATACCGAGTAAGACTACTATTTCCCCATTTTTACCCAAAAAGTAATGACTTAATTTTAGTAATTCAGCCCGAGGAACCCCAAAACCCATGCAATCCCTCCCCATGTGGTGCGAATGCCGTATGTAAAGAAAGAAATAATGTCGGTTCATGTACATGTTTACCAGAATACTTTGGAGATCCTTACACGGGATGTAGACCAGAATGTGTTACGAATTCAGATTGCCCGAGAGATAGGGCATGTGTAAACAATAAATGTAAAGATCCTTGCCCGGGAACCTGTGGACTTAATGCAGAATGTAGCGTGATAAACCATGCACCGTCTTGTAACTGTTTGCCAGGCTACACGGGCAATCCGTTATCATCTTGCCGACTTCCACCTCCACCTTGTAAGGCATGACACTTCTTTATTTCTTTCTTTTTCTAACTTCCTTCTTTTATTAGTACCCGAACCAAAAGGAACTCCTTGTGAACCATCACCTTGTGGACCATACAGCAACTGTAGAGTTGTGAACGGCCATGCTGTATGTTCATGCCAAACTAATTATATTGGTACACCGCCTGCATGCAAACCTGAATGCATGGTCAGCTCCGAGTGCCCACAAAATAAAGCGTGTATCAAAAATAAATGTAAAGATCCTTGCCCCGGAACATGTGGCTTAAATGCGAGATGCCAAGTTGTAAATCACAACCCGATTTGTAGTTGCCCACAGAATTATGTGGGGGATCCTTTCGTTCGATGCATCTTGGAAGACCGTAAGCTTATATTTCTCTCTGTCTCTATACTATTTTATAACTCTTTTGCATGTTTTGTCTCTTTTTAGAAAAACCTGTTGTGCAACCAAGCGGAAACCCTTGTGTTCCCTCGCCTTGTGGACCAAACTCACAATGTAGAGTGATTGGTACACAAGCTGCATGTTCTTGCCTTCCAAATTATATAGGTCGAGCTCCAAACTGCAGACCAGAGTGCACTATCAACGAGGAATGCCCCGGAAATCTTGCATGTCAAAACGAGAAATGTAAAGATCCTTGTCCTGGTTCTTGTGGATCTTCCACGACTTGTTTGGTTATTAAGCATGCCCCTGTTTGCCAATGCATGGCGGGCTATACTGGTGATCCCTTTACTGGATGTTCTCTCATACCACCTTGTAAGAGTAGCTCTATTTTATTTTTTACTTCACACTTCTATAAATATTTACTCTCATTCTTATTCTCTTCTTGTAATACTCTTTTCAGCCCCTCCAGTCACAGAAAGGCCAAGGGAGCCTTGCAATCCTTCACCATGCGGCGCTAATGCCGTATGCAAGGAGAGAAATGGTGCCGGATCGTGTGCATGCTTACCGGAATACTTTGGAGATCCCTACACTGGCTGTAGACCAGAATGTGTTACAAATTCCGATTGCGACCGCAGTAGAGCATGCGTTAATAATAAATGTGTAGATCCATGCCCCGGAACCTGTGGGTTAAATGCCGAATGTAGAGTTATTAATCATGCCCCATCTTGTACCTGCATTGCAGGATATTCGGGTGATCCCATAAAAGCATGTATTCTTATTCAATCTGGTGAGCATTTTGTGTGTGAAAACTATAACTAACTCTTGACTAGCAAACACTTTAGTTAAATTCCTAACAAACAGTTACTATTAAGGTATTTTAATCAGTTGTAGAGGAACCGCCACAGAACCCTTGCCAACCTTCACCTTGTGGTCCGTATAGTCAGTGTCGTGAAGTAAATGGCCATGCAGTTTGCTCTTGTAACATTGGATATATAGGGTCACCACCGATGTGTAGACCCGAATGCGTAGTTAGCTCGGAATGTCCCCAGGACAAATCTTGTGTGTCACAGAAATGCGTAGATCCTTGTCCTGGCACATGCGGATTAAATGCCCAATGTAGGGTTGTCAACCACAACCCCATTTGCACTTGTTCTCCAGGATTTACTGGAGACGCATTCACGCGCTGTGCAAAAATTGAAAGTATGTCTCTACTTACGCTTTCTATTTTCTTCTGTAATCTACTTTACTTTTTATTCTAGTACCTCCATCTCCTCCAGAAATTGGAAACCCATGTGTGCCTTCGCCATGTGGGCCAAACTCTCAATGTAGATTAATCGGTTCTCAACCTGCATGCTCTTGCTTACCGAACTTTATTGGCCGTCCACCTAATTGTCGGCCAGAATGTATAAACGATTCTGAATGCCCCAATAATCTAGCATGCAAAAATGAAAAATGTCGGGATCCTTGCCCCGGCTCATGTGGTAATAATGCCCAGTGCACGGTAGTCAATCACAGCCCAGCCTGTTCTTGTTTCCCAGGCTACATTGGTGATCCCTTTAGCTCTTGTACTTTACCCCCTACGCCATGTAAGAAATACACTGCGCCCCTCGGTAAATAATTATGTTTTATTAAACGGTTAACCTTTTATTTCAGTAACGGAGCATACACCAACTTCACCTTGTTCTCCATCTCCATGTGGGCCCAATGCTGAGTGCCGTGAAAGAAATGGTGCAGGAGCATGTTTGTGTTTCCCAGGTTATGAAGGTGATCCTTACGACAGCAACAAAGGATGCCGCAGAGAGTGTGAAATCAATTCCGACTGTTCGCCTATTTTGGCTTGTATCGCTTATAAATGTGTTGATCCGTGTCCGGGAACTTGCGGCACCAGAGCCGAATGTCACGTTAACAAGCATGTACCGACATGCATATGCCCACCTAATTTAACAGGAGATCCGTTCTTCCAATGTAACGAACTGCCTCCGGCTGGACCTAGGGTGCCAGAAGATCCTTGTAAACCGACACCATGCGGACTGAACAGCCAATGTAGGAATGTTAACAATCAGGCAGTGTGTTCATGCTTGCCCAACTACATCGGTAGCCCCCCTAATTGCAGACCTGAATGTATGGTCAATTCTGAGTGTACTCCGGATAGGGCATGTATAAATCAAAAATGTGCCGATCCTTGTCCAAACACGTGCGGATTGGGAGCGCAATGTACAACCAAAAATCACAATCCAATATGCGCCTGCCCTCCTGGGTACACCGGAGATCCCTTCAGTAAATGTTCGCCAAGAGGTAAGTTAAATGTTATTTGTTTTATTTATTTACTTATTTATGAGTCCCAGCGATCACAGTTTCGGATATAGGACATGTTCAAGAGAAAAATTACTAAAAACAATGACTTACGCTACCCCGTCTTATGCAATTTTTAAATTTCGTCGATTCGGCATTTTTGTTTGAGCAACGCGCTACTCTCGCATCCCCACTCCGTCCACACATGTTCAGTTTACGACATGTGTGAACGGAGTTGATATGTTTTTTCGTGAATTCAACGTATAACTACAAATTATTATTTTGTTACACAGTGTTACAGTACATATTACGGTTTTGCAATACATAATATATTTTTTTGTATTAATTTAAAATTTTATTACACATTTTTCTTTCAAATTTTTTGTTTTTTTTTTCAATCTTCTGTTCCAATTATAGTCCGTACGATATTTGTTGAGATAGAATTCCAAGCCGTGGTAAATTATTACAGTATGTAATTCCGATAACAGTTCTTCTATCTCAACAAATATCGTATGAATATAATTTGTATGTATGTATTTATATGCAAAATTGTACCCCGACTTACGCGACTTCGACTTACACGGTTATCGCTCGATCGCACCTATCGGGTAAGTATGGGGTATTACTGTACACAAAGTAACAAATACCCTATTACAATTAATTTAAAAATTAAAAATTATCCAAAATTGTGTTACATAACTGTTTACAGAATGAAAAGCATTTTGATACAAAACATTCTTTATTGAATCTATAAATATTTTTCTGACTTTTCTAGATATCGGCAATTTATTATATTTGTTATCACGATGATTTTTCAACAATAATTGCATGTGCAGAATGTAAAAACAGATAATAAATATATTAGTCTATAAATTCCAATAAATTTTCGATTCCCATTTTTTAAAAGTAGAATTACTTTAATTAAACAAATTCTTACTAGATACTCAGTAATGTCTTGTACTTTTCAGTGGTTACAGAACCTCCAACTACAGAAAGGCCACCATCCTGCTATCCATCACCATGTGGACCAAATTCCCAATGTAGAATTGTTGGAAATAGCCCGACTTGCTCTTGTTTACCAGATTTCAATGGTACCCCACCAAACTGCAGACCCGAGTGTATTCTCAACACAGAATGTAACAACCAACTGGCTTGCATTAATCAAAAATGCAGAGATCCCTGTCCTGGCTCTTGCGGTGGAAACGCAGAGTGTCACGTAATTAGCCATGTGCCGATATGCACATGTAGCCCCGGTCATACCGGTGATCCGTTTACTCAGTGCAACTTAATACCTCCTGTTACCACTCCACCCCCTCCAAGGGACCCTTGCAACCCATCCCCATGCGGCCCGAATGCTGTTTGTGATGAGGGAGTATGCACATGCATAACGGAGTACATCGGAAATCCGTATGAATCTTGTAGACCAGAATGTGTTCTTAGCACTGAATGCTCAAGGGATAAAGCCTGTATTAGAAATAAATGTGTCGATCCTTGCCCTGGAACGTGCGGGCAAAATGCCCGTTGTGACGTGATCAATCATATTCCAACTTGTTCCTGTCCTGATGGTTTCACAGGCGACCCCTTCACAAACTGCCGAGTTGCTAGTCCGCCACCACCGAGAACAGATCCTTGCAATCCGTCACCTTGTGGACCGAATAGTTTATGTAAAAATATCGATGATCATGCTGTATGCTCCTGTATACAAGGTTATGAAGGTAGCCCGCCATCGTGTAAACCTGAATGTGTTGTTAATGGAGAATGTCCGCAAAATAGAGCGTGCGTCAACCAGAAATGTATCGATCCTTGTCCAGGTTCCTGCGGAATCAGAGCGCGCTGCGAAGTGCGAAATCATAGCCCCATATGCAGTTGTCCTGAAGGACAAACAGGAGATCCGTTCCAAAGTTGCAGAGATTTACCCATAGAGAGAGTAACACCGAGCCCGATTCCAGAAGATCCTTGTCAGCCATCTCCTTGCGGACCTAATTCTATGTGTAAAAGAGTCGGGGACTCACCGTCCTGCACTTGTCTACCGAATTACATTGGAAATCCACCGAATTGCAGGCCAGAGTGTGTGATAAATCCCGATTGTCCAAACACCGAGGCTTGTATTAACAATAAATGTAAAGACCCTTGTCCTGGCAGTTGTGGAGAAAATGCAGAATGTCGAGTAATTAGTCACACTGTCAGCTGTTCGTGTTCGCCTGGATTTACCGGAAATCCTTTCATACAATGTTCCGTGCAAGAGGTGATCATTAACCCATGTGAACCATCTCCATGTGGCGCAAATGCAGAATGTAAACAGAGGAACGGTGCGGGAGCCTGCACTTGCATTCAAGATTATCAAGGCAATCCGTATGAAGGCTGTAGACCGGAATGCATTCTTAGTTCAGATTGTACAACCAACAAGGCCTGTATCAGAAATAAGTGTGCCGACCCATGTCCAGGTACCTGCGGACAAAATGCAGAATGTTCCGTTATCAATCACATACCAGCTTGTACTTGTATTCCCGGTTACAGCGGTGATCCATTTGTTGTCTGTTCAGTTGCACCCACGCCACGTAAGTAAAATATTTTTTATTGAAATACATTCCTAATATACATACATACAGGACCCTCATAAATGATTACAAGCCATGTGACTGCCAAACTTAGGCAACCCAACATTGCACATCCGGTACTAAAAATCCACGGTATTAATGATTCGTTTACAATGAACAATGACAAACCGTTGCTATGCTCGAGATAATGCAATCGCTGATTCATTGAATAAAATCTCGTGAAAAATTACACCAATCACTAGCCGGTGAAACAGAATGTTGTATTTTAATGTATTTAATAATTTTTAATTTTACCGGAATCTAAATGCCAATGTGAAGGAAATAAAATGACTGTTTCAAACAAAATAATTGGTTGTGGCTTGTAACCATTTGCGAAGGTACGTAATTAACTAATAGTCAGTTTACAAGTTGTGAACAATTGTGAAACATAGATACTGAATATCAGAGAGGAAACAGGAGAAAAATATTTATCCGATAACTATAGTCAATACAATTGAATTGGTGACTAATTACAGTAGGAACAAGTTAGCTCTGATCCTATTTTTAAATTCTTATAATGATCTGGATGATTTGATGTATTCAGAGAGTTCATTGTATTATTTTGAAGTTTATAAAATATGTACAGCCTATTAGTGATTATACAGGGTGTCCCGCATAAAAACCAACACAGGGCAGGTGCATGTAGGGGTGTCCAAAATATTGTAATTTAACCAAATTATCTATATACATTGTGGAGCCCTAAACTTCTAAAAAAAAATAATCTCTCTGCAACACTTTACCGCAGAAGAACCAAATTTGGTACATGATTTACACTAAAACCGCTATATCTTTTCCATTGTCTCACAAGCAATATTCATATGAATTAAGATGAAAAATCCTAGTCAAATTAGTCAATTGAAATGTCATCTTGACAATTCCCAAATCTGGGTATCTCGCAAATTTTAATACTGGTACTAGAAAAACAGGCATTGCAAAAAACACCTGGTTGGTAGGGTATAAGATTTTTCATAAAAATATTGCAGACTTCAGTACAAAATATGGAAATGGAAAAAACAATAAGGAAAATTTCGTTGTATTCATAATTTTTATCTAGTAGTATTGTGGAACATCCAGTATAAAGATTCAAAAAGACATCTGGTTAATAATTATACAAAGTTTAATTAAAAGACGTTAGTAAATAAAGACAAAGTTAAAAGTGAAAAGGGAAAAAATTGCCTGTAATCTGGACCTGGGTCAATTCTGTGGAACATCTAGTATATAGATTTTTAAAAAGGTGACTGATCAGTAAATATACAACTTTGCTTCAGAAGATTTAAAAAAAAAGTCAGTAGTAAGCAATGAATTTATCTTTCAAACTTGTTAGTAATAAAATTATTTTATTTCAACAATTGCCTCTGGTTGTTGTTGAAAAAATATAGAATAATTATTATTTTTATTATTTATTTGTGTTTTTTACTTAATACAATATTTGTTTGTTTAAAAACTACCTAGGTACTTGTTTTCTTTTTGTAGAATTAGGAGAGAAGTGAAGTAAAATTTATTTGGCCAATTGTAAGCCTACTACTGACTTTTTGATTATTTTCTAATGAACACTGTTAAAATCTTGTGTCAGTTAATACGGTTTTTCTTGAAATCCATCAAGTTTTTTAAAATTTGACAAGAGTAAAAAAAAATTAAATTAAATTCTGCTGTACATTAATATTACTATTTTTCAATTCGGTCAATGAAAAAAAAGTTCGATACAATTTTAGGGGTGAGTCATCTCCAGTGAACACCTTGTAGTACTTCAATTAACTTTAAATCATAGTCAAAGAAGACCAGTAATAAACCTAAATCATGTACCAAATTTGGTTCTTCTACAGTAGTGTTGCAGAGATATTAATTTTTTTCAAAATTTAGGCCCCCACTTTGAGGGCTAATAACTCCTCAGGGGTGCAACTTTGTATATAGGTAAATTTGGTTAAATTACAATATTTTGGACACCCCTACATGCATCCCAATAATCCCAATTTCAAAATTGAAAGTAATAAATTCTTGCAAATTATCTACAGCCAAAATAAGATCACAAGTTCTAAAACTTTTTCAGTAGCAGGTAATGTATTTATAGTACAGTATTTCCAAAAAAAATTTTTGGATTGGTGGTTTAAAATGTTGGAAAACACTCCATATTGGAGGGAAACATTTACCAAATTCAGTAAAATATGCCGTTATATTAATGTCTCATTTAGAATCTTATTTAAATAAAATTTATCTAATTAATTTATAATTTAGCTGAATTCCCTTAAATTAATTCATTTAAATTTAGTTTAGTTTAGTTAATACTTACTGTAGTGCATAGATTCAAATCCATACGTTTCTAACATCCTAACTGATGAATGTTGATTTTTTCAGCTGTCACTGTGCCTTCTATAATAGATCCATGCAGCCCATCGCCGTGCGGTCCCTACAGTCAGTGCCGCAGTATAAACGACCAAGCCGTGTGCTCCTGCCTACCAGAGTACACAGGATCCCCACCGAACTGTAAACCCGAATGCGTCGTTAGTTCCGAATGTCCACAAAACCGTGCGTGCCATAAATTCAAATGTGCCAATCCGTGTGCTGGAACATGCGGCATAGGTGCCAGATGCGAAGTCATCAACCACAACCCTATTTGTAGCTGTGCTCCGGGACTGACGGGCGATCCATTCTCAAGATGTTACGAGTTACCGCCTCCGCCACCAGAAAAAAGACCAACTCCCTTAAATCCATGTGTTCCGTCTCCGTGTGGACCAAACTCAGAATGCCGGGTAATAGGGGATCAACCCTCTTGTTCGTGTCGCTCCACTTATATAGGAGCACCACCGAACTGTCGACCTGAATGCGTTGTAAACACTGATTGCCCTTCAACTGTGGCGTGTATCACAGAAAAGTGTAAAGATCCCTGTCCCGGCTCTTGTGGGTTCAACGCCGAATGTAGAGTACAGAACCACATCCCAATATGTACCTGCGCGGACAATTTCACTGGTGACGCATTTACAGAATGTACTAGGGTAGTACCTCCCGATGTCTCTATACCAGATCCGTGCAACCCGTCACCTTGTGGGCAAAATACAGAATGCGATAACGGTATCTGCAGGTGCTTACCACTGTATCAAGGGGACCCCCATATTGGATGTAGGCCGGAGTGTACACTGAACACCGATTGTTCTCCCAACAAAGCCTGCAAAAATTTGAAATGTGTCGATCCCTGCCCAGGAACATGCGGTCAAGGGGCAGAGTGCTTCGTCGTGAACCACATCCCAAGTTGTAGTTGTCCCACTGGATATGAAGGCGATCCGTTCACCAGCTGCAGGCTGATTAAAATAGGTAAAATACAACTTCATGTTTATTTATTTACGTAATAACCCAGTACAAATTGCAAAGGCAAGCTATAATGATGGAAAATAAAAGTTAAAAATAAGGGAAGAAATAATAGTTATAATGAAAAATTAGTAAATTGTAAAAAAGAGACTTACGAAAATGTGAACTTAATCCTTTAAAAAATGCCTTTTTATTGCAGTTGTACCACAAAATCCATGTCAACCATCACCTTGTGGACCAAACAGCGTATGCAGAGTAAATAACGATCTTGCGGTATGTTCTTGCCAACCGGGCTTGATCGGTAGCCCTCCAGCTTGTCGACCAGAATGCATAGTCAGTGCCGAATGTCCACTAACACAGGCGTGTATCAATAGCAAGTGTGTCGACCCCTGCCCAGGTACATGCGGAATCAGCGCTAAATGTCAAGTGGTCAATCACAACCCGATATGCAGTTGCACTCAAGGAAACACAGGAGATCCGTTTACAAGATGCTACCCCCTGCCTCAGAGTATGAAACATTCCTCTTTCTTATTAGTTCAAAAAATATATTTCATCTGTAACCTAGCATGTGTAAGGTGTAACCTAATGACTTTTTTTGTCTTTTACAGAAGGACCGGAACCGAGGAACCCGTGCGATCCGAGCCCGTGCGGTCCGAACTCGATATGCCAAGTCCGAGGGGAGAGCCCCGCTTGTTCGTGCATTGAAAATTACGTTGGTATGCCGCCTAACTGCCGGCCGGAGTGTACGATAAACCCCGAGTGTCCGAATACGCGATCTTGTATCAATCAGAAGTGCAAAGATCCTTGTCCGGGAAGTTGCGGTTCTAACGCGGTGTGTAGTGTAGTGAACCACAATGCTCAGTGTACCTGCCTTCCTGGATATGTCGGTGATCCGTTCCAAGGCTGCATTCTTCAACCAGGTAGGATTGTTTTTCTTAATTGTACGAGAAGCAATACCGCTAGCAGGGTGGTGTCAGAAAATATAGAATTGTGCAATCAAAGGTACTAACTTCGGGGAAAAGATTATAAAGATATATTAAGACTTTTTTTGCAGACATTTCAATTACATCTATTGGGATAATTCATTAAGCTTAGAACTGATATTTCAATATAAATATACATTTTAATTACGAATTTTTAATAATACGGACGTTAATCAATTTTGAAAGCCTCCTAAGTTGATGTTATGTTAATATTGTGTTAGTACAGCTTACATTTTTGTACCTTTGATTGTATTAGCTTCTGATAAAATCACGGTTTTTTAAAATCATCTAAGGAAATAAAATTTTCTTTGGTATTGCTTTTCAATTGCTTGCAATCGCATGTTAATATCATTTTCAAGGTTACATGAAGTGTTTCCTTATTTATTTAATAAACAAAAATTTTTGCAGTATTCTCAGAATATTTTAAATGTTGAAAATATTTTTTAATACCAATGGGGCATTAAACTGTTATTCTAAGTAATTTCGTTCTACTGATTTTATTTTTATTTGCTTCTTGGCCAAAAATTTCCATATTTCGTATATATTCTTCTTACAGTAGCGGTTGCAGAAAATTATAGTAGTCATATTTTGATAAGGAAATGTGGAAGATTCTTAAGATTTTTAAAGCAGAGAACTTCCTTAATGAATAAGTTTTGACGAAATTTGTGAGATAAAAAATTATAATTATAATATAAAAAATTATAAAAATTATTACTCAACCACAGCACACTCTTTCTTCGAGATGAAGGATTCAATTGTTTTATGTATATGTATATATA